TTTGCAGAACAGGCTGGGGGGGGGGATTTGGGGGTCAGGGGGGGTCCCCAAAACCCCCAAATCCCCAGGGAGGGGATTCAAGGGGAAATTTGGGGTTTAGGGAACCCCATGAGGGGGATTTGGGAGTTCTGGGGGTCCCCAAATCCTCCAGGGAGGGGACACAAAAGGGGGGTCCCTAAAACCCCAAAATTCCCAAAGGAAGGGATGTAATGGGGAATTTGGGGTTTTGGGGTTCTGGGGGTTGTGGGGTGGGATTTTTTTGGGGGGTCCCACCTGGTGATCATCTCCTTCTCCTTGTTGGAGGCGTGGCCGCCGCTGCCCAGCACCTGGGCCGGGGTGGACAGGAAGTACAGGCAGTGGTTGTGGAAATATTGATTGATGAGGGGCAGCAAAATCTGGGGGGCACAGGGGGGGTCAGAGGGACCCCGGACCCCAAAACCCCACAGAGAACCCGAAATAACCCATAAAGAGCTCCCCAAACCTGTCAGAACCCCAAAACCCCACAAAGATCCCAAAAAACCCAAATATTCCATAGAGACCCCAAAGCACCTGCAGGGGACCCACCTGTCCCCCCTTTTCTGGGGTGTCCCATCCCATTTTTGGGGTGTCCCATCCCATTTTTCGGGTGTCCCATCCTCTTTTTGGGGTCTGTCCCCCCTTTTTTGGGGTGTCCAATCCCATTTTTGGGGTCTGTCCCCCCCTTTTTTTCGGGGTCCCCCCAAACCTTGGCGAAGAATTTGATCTCCTGCTCGTGGGGGGATTTCTCCACCCTCCCGCTGCTGACCACGGCCTCTGGGGGAAAAACGGGGTTCAGGGGGGGTCCTCTGGGATTTGGGGGTGTCCCTCGGGGATTTGGGGGTGTCCTGATGGGATTTTGGGGTCTCACCCAGGTGTGCAATGAACTCCTGGGCGATGTCCATCCAGCGCAGCAGCTGCTGCAGGAACCCGAAGGCGAAACGTTTCTCGATGGACGAAGTGTCCAGCTCCATGTCCTTGAGCCCCCTGAGGGGGGACCCCCAAAAATCAGCACCCCCTCCCCAAAATCAGCTCCCCCTCCCCAAAATCCCCCCAAAAATCAGCTCCCCCTCCCCAAAATCGGCTCCCCCTCCCCAAAATCCCCCCCAAAATCGGCACTCCCTCCCCAAAATCCCCCCCCAAAAATCAGCTCCCCCTTCCCAAAATCCCCTCCTGATCCCCCCAAATCTCCCCCCTCCACTCCCCCATGTCCAGGCTCCCCTGCAAATCTTGGGGTCACCCCCAGGTTTTGGGGTCCCTCTGTGGATTTTGGGATTCCCCGGGTGGGCATTTCAGGGTGGGATTTCAGGGTGGGTTTTTGGGGTTCCCCAGGTGGGTTTTTGGGGTGTCCCAGGTGGATTTTGGGGTCCCCCAGGAGTTTTTTGGGATTCCCCGGGTGGGTATTTTGGGATAGGATTTCAGGGTGGGTTTTTTGGGGTGTCCCAGGTGGATTTTGGGGTCCCCCCTCACCGGGTCACGGCGTATCCGTGCAGCTGCAGGAATTTGAGCAGCTCCTGCGCCTTCTCCCGATCCCGAGCCTTCTCCTTGGCCGTCAGGGTGTCATAGGGCACCAGGAGCGGGTGGGAGCCCCCCCCTGAACCCCAAAATCAGATTGGAAACCCCCCCAAAATCAGCTTTGAAACCCCCCCAAAATCAGCCCTGGAACCCCCCCAAAATCAGCCCTGGAAGACCCAAAATCAGCTTTGGAAACCCCCCCAAAATCAGCCTTGGAACCTCCCCAAAATCAGCCCTGGAACCCCCCCCCAAATCAGCTTTGGAACCCCCAAAATCAGCCTTGGGACCCCCAGATCAACACCCTGGACACCCCCAAATTTGGGGAGGGGTCTCTCTCTCACCCTTGGCCTCCAGCTCCAGTTTCTTCTTTCGGCCCCAGGTGTTGTGGTAATTCTCAGCCAACTGCTCTGCCATGGCCTGGGGGGGATTTGGGGGGG